TACTAGCAAATGTGCTTAATGCAGTGGCCTTCTCAATTTTTTAATTTCTTAAAACATTGTAGTAGTCATTACATTTGAATTTGCTATATCGCTTATAATTTTCGCAAATAGGTCTCGTCTCCTTTGGCGACGTACGTTGTTTTAATGCAGATTTCCATTCTGTGGGGATTGCGGACGTTAAACCATAATATTTAATAAAATCTGACTTTATATTAAATATTAAATTTAGTCTGGAACTGATTGAATGACAGAACCTCCCCATTCTCATCAGTCAAACCACTTACGTACTTCACCCCGTGGTCAAACCAATTGCGGTAAAATATCGATTTTCCATCAATAAGTACGTACTTATTGTTCCATATCGGTATATATTTCAGTCAAATTGCATATGTTATTGAATTTGTGTGTTTATCCTTGTGTATGATAATCAAGATTCTCGTTAAAACTATCTGGTCTTTTGACCTATCGCAATTGTTATTATTTCAGTTTTCAGGGTATTTACGAGCTTTTCAGTGCGTAAACGTTCTCAAATTTGTTTGCGTTAATTCTTGATCACTCACAAATTAATATTGCAAAATCTTCACCTAAACACCATTGATGCTTTGACCTAGTAATTGTAAAAATATCTTATGCAATTTTAATATTGTCATTACATTACAAATCCTGTAATACTTTATTTTCATCAACATATGATATCACACGTAAACATCGGTATACTACATTGTCTATTTGATTCTTATCAATATAAGGAGTTTTTGCATATACATTTTGAAAATCTTGTTTGAAGAACAGTCATGAAAATGAAATGAATTCGGTTTACGTCGCGATCAATGAACACTTTCACATTTTTAGATTTCATGGAACACCATGCAGACCTACTGAAGAAACAATTCCATGGTTTGGAAGTGAAACCGTTCCATGGGCTGTACGTCGATGGTTTGCAACATATCAAGTGTTTAAATCAGAAAAAGCTGATACTATTCATTGGCAGCAGCTTTAGTAATATACCAATACACGATATGGAATCGTTTTTGACGACAGTAAATGAGGCAATGGGTAAGAAGCATGATATTATTGTTCAAAATAATATGAGGTTATGCGCAAAGTACCGAAATTTAGGTTCGCGTTCCTTCGCCGTATTTGCTGCGTGATAATTTGTTGTGTGTTTTCATTGATCATGCGTACACAAACAAAAAGTGTAGCGCTTAGTGCTACAGCTTACACAGCTAGGCGTATAATAAATTTATAGATTTGAAATTGAACGGCATGAGTGAATTTATTGGAAGTGTCAAAACACTGAATGATATAATCTTCTCATGAGTCCGCCTATGTAAATCATGTACATTTTTAGATTTTCATCTCGCCGAGTACTAAAATCTAAAACAATTTCCATTCAATGCAATAATATGTTATATTGTTATTTAATTTCTCAGGGAACAATGATAGACTGCTGATTGGTATCGACATTAAACAAAATGAAGACGAGCAAGTTCAAACTTACTCACATGCCACACTTAGTAATTTAATTCTGAATTTGCTGACACGAATAAACCGAGAATATGGAGCAGATTTCAATATGAAAAATTTTCGTATAGATACCAAATACGTTATGAGTGAGAATATGGATACATTCATAAAAAGACCATAATATATCAAGGTCGGATGCCAGAGCACATGTGAACAAGTCGTATATCTACGTGAGTATCAATGATATATGTTGATCAATTCGATTG